TTTTTTTTTAAGATTTTATTTATTTATTTGTCAGAGAGAGAGCACAAGCAGGGGGGAGCAGCAGAGGGAGAGGAGAAGCAGGCTCTCCACTGAGCAGGGATCCCTATCTGGGCCTTGATCCTAGGACCCTGGAATCCTGACTGAGCCAAAGGCAGATATTTAACAGCTGAGCCACCCAGGCACCCCTTGTTTCTTTCAAGTTCTTATTTATATTATATATATATATAAAATATACACATATAATGTAATATTGGCTTCAGGAGTAGAATTTAGTGATTCATCACTTACATATATAATGCCCAGTGCTCATCACAGCAGGTGCTTTTCTTAATGCCCATCATCCATCTAGCCCATCACCCACCTACCTCCCCTACAAGAACCCTCAGTTTGTTCTCTATCATTAAGAATCTCAGGGCACGGGGCACCTGGGTGGCTCAGTGGGTTAAAGCCTCTGCCTTCGGCTCCGGTCATGATCCCAGGGTCCTTGGATCAAGCCCCACATTGGGCTCTCTGCTCAGCAGGGAGCCTGCTTCCCCTTCTCTCTGCCTACTTGTGATCTCTGTCTGTCAAATAAATAAATAAAATCTTTAAAAAAAAAAAAAAGAATCTCAGGGCACCTGGGTGGCTTAGTCGTTAAGCATCTGCCTTTGGATCAGGTCATATTCCCTACAGTGGGCTCCCTGCTCGGCAGGAAGCCTCCTTCTCATTCTCCCTCTATGCATGCTCTCTCAAATGAATAAATAAAACTTTTTTAAAAAAAGTAATTTTGGGGGGCGCCTGGGTGGCTCAGTGGGTTAAAGCCTCTGCCTTCGGCTCAGGTCATGATCCCAGAGTCCTGGGATCGAGCCCCGAGTCGGGCTCTCTGCCCCGCAGGGAGCCTGCTTCCTCCCCCTCTCTCTCTGCCTGCCTCTCTGCCTACTTGTGATCTCTCTCTCTGTCAAAAAAAAAAAATCTAAAAAAAAAAAAAAAAAAAAAAAAAAGGTAATTTTGGTAAAAAAAAATTTTTTTCTCTCTTCCCTTCAACCACCCCTCCCCTCTTTTCTGGGCCAATTTGATATTATCTCACAGCTCACCTTTTCTTTTTTCATCTATTTTTAGTGTTTTTCTCTTATGTTTCAAGTTTTTATAGTTTCTGCTGCTGTGTCTTCAAGAACATACAAGTATACCTATTCTTTTTCTTCTTCAGTGTGTAATCTTTTCCAGTCTTAAGTGAATTTTAAATTTCAGATATTGGGGTTTTTTTGTTTGTTTGTTTTTTGAGAGAGAGAGAACACTTGAGTTAGGGGCAAGGTGAAGGGGGAGAGAGGGAAAGAGAGAGAATTTTTTTTTTTTTTTAAGATTTTATTTATTTGATAGAGGTCACAAGTAGGCAGAGAGGCAGGCAGAGAGAGGGGAAAGCAGGCTCCCTGCTGAGCAGAGTCTGATGCAGGGCTTGATCCCAGGACCCTGAGACTATGACCTGAGCTGGCGAAGGCAGAGGCTTAACTCACTGAGCCACCCAGGCGCCCCAAGGGAGAGAATTTTAAGTAGACTTGGCGCTGAGCGAGGAACCCATCTGGAGCTCAGTCTCACAACCCTGAGATCATGACCTGAGCCGAAACCAAGAGTCAGACACTTAACTGACTTGAGCCACCAGGATCCCTCAGAGATTGTACTTTTAAGCTCCAAAAATTTTGACTCATTTTATGTTTTCCACTTCTCTCATTATGTTCATTTCCATTAAATCCTTGAGCATATTTTTAATAGTGCTTTCAAAGTCCTTGTCTACTATTTTATCATCTCATCATCATGTGTCTGTCTTTATTGACTATTTTCCTTATGGTCACATTTGCCTCCTTTCTTTTGCATGTCAAGAGATTTTTTAGTTAATGCTTGGTTTTGTGAAATTTACATTGAAGGCTAGATTTTGTTGACTTCTTTTAAAACACCTTGGACTTCGTTCTGGCAGGCAATCAGGTATTTTGTGAATCAGCTTGATCCTTTCAAGGCTCCTTTTTAAGTTAGGGTATAGCCCATCTTTTTTTTTTTTTTTTTTAGATTTTTTTTTTAAATTAATTTATTTATTTGACAGACAGAGATCACAGGTAGGCAGAGAGGCAGGCAGAAAGAGAGAGAAGGAAGCAGGCTCCCCGCTGAGCGGAGAGCCCGATGTGGGGCTCGATCCCAGGACCCTGGGACCATGACCCGAGCCAAAGGCAGAGGCTTTAACCCACTGAGCCACCCAGGCGTCCCAGGGTATAGCCCATCTTGAGCAGCCTCTTTCTAGGGCTAACTTTACCCCTGCTGCTGATGCGCCCTCTTCTGGAGTTCAAGTTCAATGCTCCAGGTGTTCAAGTTCAATAGGAATTTCCCACATTAGTTGGTCAAAATTCAAACAGCTCCCAGCCTTCTGTTAACTTTGGAAATTATTCAGTTTATAGGTACCCAGTAGTTCATTAACTGGCTACACAGAGTTTTGCCCTATTCATTTGCAGCTTAATATTTAGCAACAGAGTCAAGCATCCTTTAAGCAGAATTCTGGAGCTATTTCTCTGGGTAATTCCTCCTTTCTCTGGTAACACTGATGAACCCATTACTAACCATTCACTAAAATCTGAGTAATGAGTTTAGGGATGTTCACCATAAATTTTCAGCTTTGTCATATGTTTGAAATTTTAATGAGATGTTTGAAATAATCAGATTATATACAACAAATACAATGCCACCATTTTATAAAGGTATTTGTGAGATTATACATTACCGTGAAATGGGTTCTAAATCAGCTATGGCTGGGAAATGCTGGCCATTCCTGTAGCTAGGACAACAGATTGAAAGAGCTTCTATGTTCAAGTGGCCCTTTACTGCAGTTTTGCATAGTCCCTCAAACTGTCTCCTTAGTGGCAATGTAAGCTTTCATTTATGCTATAGTATGTATATTCTCCTTCTGTAATTAGTATGTTATCACCTTCTTCACCTAACTTTTGATTCATTTATTAGTATGGATTCATGAATTATTATATTCAGTGAGTTTAAATCCAGACTATCATATATTTTGATGCTCCCATTGTTCTAGATTTGGCTAGTGGCATTTGTGTACTTCTGATGTGCCCCCATTGTTCTTTGAGCATTTTCTTCTTTCTGCAACAAACAACAAAACGTTCCAGGCTTATCTTGTACTTTGCCAGCCCTGGAATCATCCATTTCTCCAAGGAGCCCTGGTTCCTTTTATTAGAGAGTGAAGCCCTCTTTGTGGGCTGAGCTAGAGAAATATGTATTCCCTACATATACACTGGTCTCTATATTTACTTACATTGTAAGCTATTTATTTAGTCTATGAATACCTCACCACTGCTGTGTTCTTTCTGGTTTTTTTCCTTTCCCCTATTTGTAACTCTGTTCTCTGCTAGCATCTATTAACTTCCAGTATATTAACTTACCAGGTGACTCCCCACCATTGTACGTATGTAACCAATCTCCCATTGTCAGCACTGCCTACCCAGGTGATTTTTTTTTTTTTTTTAAGATTTTATTTATTTATTTGACAGATGGGAGATCAGAGAGAAGCAGGCAGAGAGAGGAGGAAGCAGGCTCCCTGCTGAGCAGAGAGCCCGATGTGGGGCTCAATCCCAGGACCCTGGGATCATGACCTGAGCTGAAGGCAGAGGCTTTAACCCACTGAGCCACCCAGGCGACCCCCAGGTGTCTTTTTCTGACCCTTCTTGGAATCCAGTATCCTACCCCTCACAAACCTATATCCTTCTCACTCCTTTTTAAAATGTGTATTTTTCAGGGACGCCTGGGTGGCTCAGTTGGTTGAGCAGCTGCCTTCGGCTCAGGTCATGATCCCAGGGTCCTGGGATCGGGTCCCGCGTCGGGCTCCTTGCTCCGCAGGGAGCCTGCTTCTCCCTCTACCACTCTGTCTGCCTGTGCTCTCTCTCTCTCTCTCTCTGACAAATAAATAAAATCTTTAAAAAAAATAATAATAAAATAAAATAAAATAAAATGTGTATTTTTCAAAAGCAACCTTGAGGGGTGCCTGGGTGGCCCAGTTAGTTAAGCATCTGCCTTCAGGTCACATCATGGTCCCAGGGTCCTGGGATGGAGCCTGCTTCTCTCTCTGCCCCTCCCCCCATTCATGCACACACTCTCTTTCTCTCACTCACTCTCAAATAAATATGAATCTTTTTATAGAATTTTTAAGATTTTATTTATTTGAAAGACAGAGATCACAAGTAGGCAGAAAGGCAGGCAGAGAGAGAGGAAGGGAAGCAGGTTCCCTGCTGAGCAGAGAGCCCAATGTGGGGCTCAATCCCAGGACCCTGGGATCATGACCTGAGCCGAAGGCAGAGGCTTTAACCCACTGAGCCACCCAGGCGCCCCTAAAAATCTTTTTAAAGAAAAAAGCCACCTTGGGGCACCTGGGGTGGCTCAGTTGGTTAAATGGCTGCCTTCTGCTCGGGTCATGATCCGAGGGTCCCACATCAGGCTCCCTGCTCAGTGGGGAGCCTGCTTCTCCCTCTCTCTCTGCCTGCCTGTCCTCTATCTCTGTCAAATAAATAAAATCTTAAAAAAAAAAAAAAAAAAAAAAAAAAAAAAAAAAAAAAAACCACTTCTGTGGTAGGAGACTTTCATATGGACTGGGTATCCAATGAAATTAAGCCATCACTGTTTATTTTAACTATGATAATGGCATCAAGGTAAATTTTTTCAAAGTCCTGATCATTAAGAGTTACATACTTGCAGGAGCCTAAGTGGTCAATCGGGTAAGTGTCTGACTTTGGCTCAGGTAACAATCTCAGGGTCCTGGAATGGAGCCCCGCATCAGGCGCTCTGCTCAGCGGAGAATCCCCTTGTCTCTCTGCCCCCTCCCCAGTACATTCTCTCTCAAATAAATAAATTAAAAAAAAAAAAAAAAAGACACATGCTTGCTAGGTGATGGGTACATGGGAGCTGATTATTGTTCTACCTAGTCTTGTGTTTGAAAATTTTCAAATTAAAAAAAAAAGAAAAGAAAAGGAAGCTGCAGGTCTGCAGATCACTGGACTTTATTAAGAGGAATCACAGCTAACTACATAGAAGTTACTTGCCTAAGCCAAAATCCATGAGGTTCACAGTTACACTTATAAGGAAGAAATGGCATGGTCAAAACCATGAAATATCCTGATGCTCGGGTGATGAAGGCTGGGGTGAAGTAAGCACATTTATTTCAAGCTGTTGAAGAGTTTGTGGGCCACCTAGATGAGGGGAAGAAAAGATGGTCATCAACTGCAGCTTTAATGTCATAGCTTACAAGGTCCTTCATGACCTTGAACACTACTGCGTCTCCTCTCTCCATAGCATTCACACACACCCATACCCCTCCTGAGCCCTAGTGACTACCTTCAGTTACCTGAATTCGATCTCCCTTCTACCCAGAACTCTCTACTTTTTAAAAAATCTTTTATGTTTCTTTAGAACTTAGTTTACATGTCATTCTTTGTAAGCCTTCTCTAAACAGAACTCCTATCCCCACATAAATCTGTCCCTCCTCATTCTTCCCCATAGGAACTTATACCTCCCATGTCACAATTTTTTTTAATGTAACAAATATTTATATAACATCTACTATATGCCAGCTACTCTTCTAGGTGCTGAGTGAGCTACAATGGAAACCAGGCAGTATTTCTCTTAGGAAACGTAGAGACTAATAAGAGAAATGTAATAGACACCTAAGGTAAACCTCTGACAGTGATAAAAGCTCTGAGGAAAATAAAAAAGGGGTTGGGGGTGGGGGGAAACAGCAGCTTTAAATAGAGGATTAGTGAAGGCCATCCTGAGAAGGTTATACACAAAGAGTTAAGTATTCTACTTGTCTCCTATGCTGGTTCAACTAAATAAAGGAAGGGACTGTGCCTGTCTCATTTCTACATTTCAACCCAGTGCTAGGCTCATGAAAGTATTTGAATAACATACAATTTACCATTTTAACTAAGTAAAGTCTATGACAAAACCCCGAGATTAAGAGTCACAAGTTCCACTGAATGAGCCTGCCAGGTGCCCTCATTTTAACTATTTTGAACTTTGTATTTCTGTGGCATTAACTCATACTGTCCAGCAATTATCAAGTTCCAGAATTTTTTCATCTTCCCAAATTGAAACTAAGTAATTCCCCATTTCCCCCTCCCTGAAGCCCCTGGCAACCACCATTCCACTGTCCATGAATTTGATTACTCTAGGTACCTCATAAGTGGAATGACATATTTGTCTTTTTGTGATTGGTTTATGTAACTTAGCATGTCTTCAAGGTTCATACAGGTTGTTACACATCGTAGTTTCTTCCCTTTTTAAGGCTAAATGTTTCATTATAGGTATATACCACAATGGATAGTTGGATCGCATCTACCCTTTGGCTATTATGAATGCTACTATAAACATGCATGCACAAATACCTGTTCAACTGAACAGTCTCCGTTCTTTCGGGGTATACAAGCAGAAGGGAAATTGCTGGATCATATAGCAGAGTTTAATTTTTTAAGTAAAGTGCTTAATTTTTTTCACTGCCAAATAATATTCCATTATATGGATATATTACATTTTATTTACTTACAACTAATGAACATTTATGTTGTTTCCACTTTCTGGCTATTATGAATAATGCTCCTATGAATATTTGTGTACAAGATTTTGTACAGACATAAGTCTTCATTTCTCTTGAGTATATGTACCTAGGAGAATTACTAGATCATATGTTAACTTGATGTTTAACTTTTTTTTTTTAATGAAGGTTTATTTATTTATTTATTTATTTGACAGAGACAGACAGCAAGAGCAGGAACACAAGCATGGGGAGTGGGAGAGGGAGAGTTGGAGAAGCAGGCTTCCCACCGAGTGGGGAGCCCGATGTAGGGCTCAATCCCAGGACCTTGGGATCATGACCTGAGCTGAAGGCAGACGCTTAACAACTGAGGCACCCAGGTGCCCCATGTTTAACTTTTTGAAGAACTGCCAGACTGTTTTCTATAGGGCTATACCAATCTACATCCCCAACAGCAATTTCTCCATATTGACAACACCGATCCGTTTTTTTTTTAATGATATGGAGAATTACAGATGCATGTTTTGTTTATAAATTTTCCTTCTTTCCACTAAAATTATGTTGAAAAAGAAATATAATGCCTTTATTCATATTTTATATTAAATGTATTTGGATTCCATTTTTGTTTTAAAATCTGATAGTATATATGAGAAAACATGGTTATCTCTAGGCAGTATGATTTCAGTTAGATTTTTCTATCTTTATAAAATATCCTCCTTGTCACAACGTGTTTAATGGGGTGGGGGTATATGTACATTTGTGTATTTCCACTCTATATCATAGAATTAAAACACCTATACTGGAAGTTGTTTTTTTTTTTTTTTTTTTAAAAGAAAGCTCTACACCCAATTCAGGGGCTTGAACTTAAGACGCTGAGATCAAGAGCTGCGTGCTCTACCAACTGAGTCAGCCAGCATCCCTGGGATTGTTGAAGCATAAAGTTGGTAGAGTGGAGATCATTAACTTTTTTCAGGGGGAAAAGAGTCATTTATTTTTCCCTTTTGACCCCCTTCATCCATTTCTCCCTATCTTTTTGATTACACCCATCCTAGCAGGTATGAACTGGTATCTCATCGTGGTTTTGATCTGTATTTCCCTGAGAGCTAATGGTGTTAAGCACCTTTCACATGCTTATTAAGCAGCCAATTGTTTTAATTAACATATATTATTTGTCCCAGGGGTACAGGTCTGTGAATCATCAGGCTTACACATTTCTTCACAGAATTCACCATAGCACATACCCTCCCCAATGTCCATAACCCAGCCGCCCTATCCTACCAATTGGTTTTAATATAAGCAATCATCAAACTTTTGCCTGCTCTGCAATTTATTTAAAATATCTGTCATATGTGGGGCACCTGGGTGGCTCAGTGGGTTAAAGCCTCTGCCTTCAGCTCAGGCCATGATCTCAGGGTTCTGGGATCGAGCCCCACACCGGGCTCTCTGCTCAGCAGAGAGCCTGCTTCCCCCTCTCTCTCTGCCTGCCTCTCTGCCTACTTGTGATCTGTCAATTAAATAAAATTTAAAAAAAAAAATGTGTCATATGTAAGTGAGTCAAATTTACTTAAAAAAAAAAAAATAATAATAATAATAAGGAGGCACCTGGGTGGCTCGGTCCATGGTCCTGGGGTTGAGCCCTGTCAGGGGTTGGGCTCCCTGCTCAGCAGGGAGTCAGCTTCTCCCCTATCCTCTGCCCCTTCCCCTGCTCTCTCTCTCAAATAAATAAAATCTTAATAAAAAAAAAAAAAGAAAAGAAAACTTTTTGGACCAACTAGCACATACAAGACATACTGGAGGATATAAATGATTTTAAAGAATAGCCTGTTGCTTAAAGGTACAAACTCCAGCTTCCCCAATGTTTTGCAGTCCAAGTTGGGACATCATTTCTCTTCTTTAAGCCTCAGTTTCTTATCTGTAAAATGGGGCTAATGAGACCTATCTCCAGGAAAGTAGCAGAATTAGGTGGATTATTTATGTAAAGTGCTCGGCACCGTACCTAACATATATGGGCCAGTAAGTAAATGCTTGTTGCTGGATCTGCCCCTAGTATGGAGAAGCTGTCAGCACCAAGTCTGCCTGGCCACTAAGCTTTCCCCTCCCTGATTAGGCTGACTTACGCAGTGGTCCCTTGCATGCAGGAAGTCAAAGAGCTCCTCCGTGCAATCCTCCTCTGTCTGTGACCTGGAGGATACACGCTGGTCACACATCTCTAGCCGCTCCCGAGCCTTTACACATTTCTCCAGCTGCTCGCATTGCTCTCTCACTGTTGTTAGGGGATCCTGAAGAAGAAACACAGAAAAGAACGGAAATGGGGGTTTTAGGAGGAGACCCACAAACCATCTGCTTTGATTAACAACCACCAAACCAAGGTGCTGCCTCTGAATTACCGTGCAGAAGGCCAGCTGGCAGAGCCACAATGCCGCCAGAAATGGGAGAATGGGGTCTCCCATTCAATTCTGATGCTAAGTAGTAGGGGAAAGTTTCACATTCCTGCCTTCCAAGGTTGCCAGTATGCACTGAAAGCCTCAGTCCTATCTGAAAAACAAGGTGGTAAAGGAAACCTAGCCAAACTTGAAGTATATCTATAGGAGGCCTTACATGTTAACACAGCATTTGGGGATATGGGATGTCTGCGAATCTGAATTCCCCTCATATGACAGCCAGGCCTATGTACCCTAGCTGCCCAGCTAGAAAGGCAATGTTAACATGGAGAAGGACTGTATAAAAGTTCCTTCCTGAGTCCTTTATTAAACCGCAAAGAGCAGACAGATAATTGAATACCAGGCCCTCAAGATGCTGCTCTGCTCCCTGACACCATGACTGAAGAAGCTCCAAACCCAGAAAAAAGACTCAGCTTCCCAGGCCCACACCCACCAAACACTCCACAGCACAAGAAGTATTAAAGGCTTTTTCCATTTCCATTCTCTTCAAGGTGTCAAATAAAGACTCCTTAAAATGCCCTTAGAGTTTCATTAAGTTCAAACTTCCTTTTACTGAGATGGTTCCAAACCTTAGACGGCTCTTACCACTAATTCCTCCTCCTCCTCTTCCTCCTACAAAAGGAAAACAAGATTAATGTCAGCAGCAACTTGGGACACATATTACTAATCATACTGATGTAATTACTGAGGATAAACACTGTATTAGTTGTTTTAAATTTTTCTGTTATTTTATGATGCTTTCGCATTTTAGGGGCTTTGCTAATCCGGGAGAAAGCCCCTGCCAGGGGATACACCCTTCATATGTGAACCAATCAATCCAAACCCCTATCACCAATCACTTCCTTTATCTCCTAAACTAAACCAATTATTGCTCCTGCCCTAAATACCCTATGGGCCAAGTACCAAACAGCTAGAGACCACACCTATATCCCAGAACCCACAGAAATTACCCAAATAATCCAATCCTAAACTTGCCAGAGCTTGCCTATCCTGACTCACCCACTCCTTCCCTCAGAAACCAAGAGTCTGGTTTCCCTTGCTCTTTCTGGTGGTGGGGGGGGGGGGGGTCCAGGCCCTTCTCCAGGTGGCTCTGATTGGTGTGGCCATCCCCGCCTTCTCTTGGGACTCATAATAAACTCTTCTTTCAAAAACAGTTGTCTCCAAAACAAAACAAAAAACAAACCAAAAAGCAGTTGTCTCCATGCCTGTAAACTTACCATACCTAATTAATACAAACCCTGAGTACAAGGACACACTCCCTTTCATTAGCAACAACCTAGTGTGTAGGACACTGAAGTTTATAAAGTAGGGCACGTGGGTGGCTCAACTAGTTAAGCCTCCACCTTCAGCTCAGGTGGGGATCCCACCGTCCTGGGATCCAGCCCCATGTCCAGCCCCACATCGGGTTCCCTGCTCAGAGGGAGTATGCTGCTCCCTCTCCTCCTGCTCCTCCCCCTTGCTTAGTTCCCTCTTGGTTTCTCTCTCAAATAAATAAAATCTTTAAAATAAAGTTTATAAAGTACTTTCATATCTGTAATTTGATTAATCACAACAGCTCCTTAAGGGCTCCCAGTTTAGAGTTAACAACATTAATTAGATATTTTCTTTCTTTGTTTTTAAAGCTCTACGATGATGAACGTGGAGCTTGAACCCACCACCCCAAGATCAAGAGTCACATACTCTATCGACTGAACCAGCTGGTGCCCCATTGAGAAATATTCTGATACAGATTCAAGCTGATATTCACATGGAACCTATATAACTTACTTTGTTTGAAATTCTGGTAGGCACTAGTATTATGAGAAACAGCTCAATTTAGTACTTACAAAGTACTAAGCAAAGTTAAGAGGAAAACTAACATTTTTTCTAGACTCTGAACTTGAACTGGGAATACGAAAATGGCCAAACCTAAACTTTTCTTTAGCCAGAGCTTAACTAGAAATGGTTAGTTTTTAGATTAGTTTACAGTCACTGCTTTTTGACTTGCTGAACTCCCAGAACTCCTAAGTAGATTATCAGCATTAAGTCAATCAAAGGTCTAGAGTACGCACTCCATTCACAAGTTTTCAAACACCAATTCCCACCTATCTACTTCTGATTCAAGCATACAACCTCAAATTTAGTTTCCTTTCTTCCAAGGAGGGCAGTGTAAAAAAGTCCCTGTGGGAGCATCATTATAGGCCAAAATCTGGGGCACAGGAGAATCTGATCAATATTTTAACCTGTCAAGAGTAAGCTGTTTGCCTGCCTGCACGTGCACATACCCACATCTGGGGGAAGAGAAGGAAAAGGTATATAGGAAAATAAAAAGAACTCAGCAATCCCTCATGTTTTCAAAATTCCAACAACACAATCTGCTTCATTCTCTACCATGCCCTTTGCGGAAGAGACCAAACCTCATGAAAGCTGGGAGGGCTAAGGCAAGTTCAACTATAATTCACGCTATTTATTCTCGCAATTAGCAAAGATCTCTTCTAAACATGAAGATTTGGGGGATGTCAAGCTCTAGTTTTTCATTAGTTTCTTAACCTTGCTCTTTAAAAAAACTCATACTGAAAAAGTTTTTCCAAAAAATTGAAATCATTTATTTTGCCTCAGAAACCTGAAATTAGAATCCTAGAAGCAAGACCTTTGTATCATTTCCCTATTAGCAATGCTACTACATTGATCATTTTGATAATTTTGTGTCAAAAGTATCATGGCATGTTTTGGAAAAACAACTCCAAATACCAAGTCTGAATATGGACTACTTCATGTAAAATTTCCAGTCAATGACACAAACCAAGGTCACACTAAATAAAAAGAATGCCCAAAAAGTATACGTTCTTCATAAAAGGTCTCAGTTTTCTTTTTTTTAAAGATTTTATTTATTTATTTGTTTGATATACAGAGAGAGGACAAGCAGGGGGGAGCAGCAGAGGGAGAGGGAGAAGCAGATTCCCCACTCAGCAGAGAGCCACATGCAGGGCTAGATCCCAGGACTCCAGGATCATGACCTGAGCCAAAGGCAGATGCTTGACTGAGCCACCCAAGCGCCCCAAAGACCTCAGCTTTCTTAATTTTAAAACTGACTATTTTCTTTTTTTCATCTGCTGTGGTGAGCCCTACTGAACTTTCCGGTATACTTCCTGCTGAACTTCCTGAGGCTGGCTCCATTTTGTTCTGGTCCCCTTTCTGAAAATAGTAAGACTAGGGAAAAATCATAGGATAAACTAGTTTCCAACTATTCGGAACCCATAAACCCGGAACAGCTGCCTCGAAGTGACTAGAGAACAAAGGATAGGAAATGTGATTGAAAACCAAAAGCTAGATAACCTCTAAAAAGCTGGGTAGCACCGTGGCTAAGTCTTGGCTCTGAAACCATGCTGCTTGGGTTCAACTCCCCCATCCATGATTAAAAGTGTGGTCCTTAGAGAAGATATTTAGCCTTTCTATACTAGTTTTTTATCTGTAAAAAGACCACAATAGTACCCAATACTTCTTCGTAGGACTATCGTCTGGCTTAAATGAATTAGTCATATAAAGACTTGGAATAGTAAGCAGTCAATAATTATCATACCGGTATTCTTATTCCGGGATAGAGCTCCCTCTTCCATCATCGCAGTTATACTGGCATATTCCCCAAATATACCTACCACCCCAACTCCTACCCAAAAAAAGAAACCACTTCTTCACAGAAACTAGCGTTAAGGCCAGATCTACGGAGCCTCCATCGAAGATGTGGCATCATTCCTGACCTGAGGGGAGAGAAGCACTATGACCGGTCGGCTTGACCCCTACACCTATCAAACCAGGGTCTTAGGTCGTCTGGTTGGCTAAAAATATACTGTTTTTACAAAAGTTTAGGCGACCCAGCATTTTCGCTGTTACACCTTCACCTCATTCACAGAATGGGGAAACCAAGCTCAGAAAAGGGGTGGTCATCTACTCGTCCAAGATGAGTAGACAAATTCTGGGGAAGGGTCGAGGGAACTAGCAATCGTGACCGTGAAAACTCTAGGGGCGAACCTAGGGCCAACAGGGCCCGGGTGTGTTTTGGCGGGGTAGGTCTTGAGCCTCAGGGCAGTGAAGAGAGTCGAGTCGGTCGCCTTTCCTTACCTCCTTGGGATCTCCGGATCCGGTCAGCACCTTTCGCTCGTCCTCCAGCCCCATGACCTGCTACGGTTCTGTACTCAACACCAGCAGCAACAGCGGCACCTATTCCACTTCAGATCAAGAAGGACTTGTAAGGGTCACTCAGCGGATATCCGGCGATCTGGCCGGAAGTGCGGCAGACTCGTCGTAGTCGCGAACACACGCTCGGATTGGCATATACTACCGTCCAAACGCAAGGGATAGGGGGAGCTGGTATTTGCACCTGAGGAGGAGTTGCTAAGTAATGTCCCTTTATTCGCCCCAGTGTCAACTTCATCGATCTGCACATTTATTTTAAATATTGGATTCTAGGAGACTTGGAAAGAATGCGGATTTATTCGATGTTCCTTTAGCGCAGTTCCCGGTCTTACCCACATCGCTGATGAAACCGTCCTAACTGCTGACCTTTTCAAGATGGCGGTCCGCGGGTGCCACTCTCGGGCTCGCGCACCTCCCCAAGATGGCGGCGCCCGAGGCCTGGCGCGCCCGGAGTTGCTGGTTCTGTGAGGTAGCGGCGGCAACGACCATGGAGGCCACGTCCCGGGAGGCGGCGCCAGCGAAGAGCTCGGCCTCGGGCCCCAGCGCTCCCCCCGCCCTGTTCGAGCTGTGCGGGCGGGCGGTGAGCGCCCATATGGGGGTTCTGGAGAGCGGGGTGTGGGGTAAGTCGCGGGGTGAGGGGCTACCTCTGGCAACGAGCGGAGGCGGCCCAGCGGCCGGGGGGCGCGGGGGGCGAGGCCGGGAGGCCTGGGGCAAGGCCCAGCCCGGGGCGCTGGAAGCCACACCGTCGGGTCGGAACATGAATTCCGTGCCTGACCGGGCTAGACAGAGTAAAGGCGGGGACCAAATCGGCAGGTGGACGCGCACTGCGGCCTGGCTGGGGGGCGCGGGGGGCGAGGCCAGGAGGCCTGGTCTGGTGCCAGACTGGCTGGGCCCGGGAGACAGAAGCTGGAATGACGGGCCGGCCGCGGGCACCGAACTGACGCTCGGGTCGGGCCGGGCTGCGGAGTCTCGGATGTCGAAGCGACGGGCAAGGATGGCCCTGCTGCTTGGGGGCGGGGGCCGAGCTTGGGAGGCCCGGCCTAAAGCAAGGAGTCCAGGCCCGGGGCCACCTAGCCTGACTGACGCGCGGGGCCTCCCGTGTCTGCTTGACAGACCGCGGGTACCGAGAATCCGGAGACTATGCTGATGGGCGAAAGCAGCCCAGTGGATTGGAGAGCGAGGGGCTGGGGGAGAGGCCGAAGGGCTTGGGGCGCCGAGGCCTGTCGGGCGACCCAGGGTTGAAGGGAGCGCACTGACGACCGGGGCCTCGGGTGCCAATTTGCTGGAGCGCTGGACTGACGGGCAGGGCAGGGAGCGCTGGAGGCCACTCGGATTGGCCTGAGCGGAGGAAGGGCCCGGAGCGGGTGAAGAAGGGAGGCTGGAGCGGGTCAGCAACCGAGGGAGGCTCGAATGACGGACGGGCGGGAAGGGCCAGGGAGGCCCCAGGCGGAGCGACGGCCCGGGGATCCCGAATGGGAGGGGGCGCGTCGCCGCTAGGAGGCCTCGGGCTGAGTGCAAGCGAAAGGAGGCCCCGGGCCTGAAAGCTGCCGGGGACCGACGGCCCGGCTCGGGCTCAGGGTGCCCAGGCCGAGCGGCAAAGGCGGGCCCGCGCCGCCGGGCCGAGGGGCCGGGGAGGACAAGCTGACGAGGCCGGCCGATGGGCCTGGGATTAGGTCGGGCCTGCGCGGGCAGGGTCGCGCCGGAGAGGAAGCCCGCAGTGGTGGGCACGCGGAGGCCCGGCTTTGGGGTGGGCGCCGCTGGACCCAGATCGGCAGCTGATGAGAACAACTCGGGTCGGCCTTGTGAACACTGATGGGGAGCGTGAAAGAGAGGAGAGTGAAGGGTCTGGGGGGTAGGCCTGCCCGCATAGGGGATGAGGGAGGCCTTGGGCCCGACAGACGGGTGGTGTGAGGGGGTGGGGTCCAGAGGCCAGGGCTGAAGTTGAGTGAGGAGATCCAGGCCGGGCCTAGGGCCCAGGGAAGCGGGAGGGAGTGGCAGGAGAGAAGGCCTCAGGCCTTGAGGGGGTGAAGGGGTGGGGTTCTGGAGAAGGCCTCCGGAGTGGTGGTAGTGCCTTTGCCAGGAGGGAAGCCCCGGTAAGGTCAGGAGAGAGGGTTTGAGGTCCTGGGATTGGGGATTTGGGGGGGTTGCACCCTGAGGAGGTGGTTGTGAAGAAAAGGCCCTGAAGTTTGGGGGGAGGGGGTTGGGCCTCCAGGAATAAGCCCCAAGGCTGTGGAGACTGGTTAAAGAAGGCCCAGGGATGTGAGAAGGCCCTTGGTGAGGTGGGGGTGGGGCACTGATCCTGAAGAGGCCCAAGTGTCTTCCTGCAGTGGGGAAGACTGTTAGAAGTCCTCAAGCTGGTAGGGGGAGGGGATTGTGGAGGCCCTGTGCCCACAGCTGAAAGGAGAAGGGTCAGGCTGACCCATGGGAAAAAGGAGTAGTCTCAGTGGAACTGGGCAGGGAGCTCAAAAAAGACCTCAGAAAAATGTGGAAGAAGGCAGAGAAGATTGGCTGTATCAGCCTGGAGCTTCTAGGATGCTAAACTTGGCTAGGAGGGAAGAGGACTGGGAGTGAAGGCCCGGAGTTGGGAAGAGGAAGCATTAAAGGTGTAGGCTGAAAAGAAGAAAGGAAGAGCCTGGCTTAAGAAGAATGGAGAAATGAAGAGAGGAGATTGTGGATCATAGGGGATGAGACTCCGCAGTGGCTGTGAGAGGGGATGGCTAAACAGAGAAGATTGGAGGGACAGAGGAGAAAGAGCTCCTATGGGCCTAGCCTAGGTAAACAGTCACAGAGAAAAAGCTGAATCAAGTTAGGCCTCTTAGAAGAGCCAAGTAGGAGGCCTGCTAAGAAGTGCTGTTTTGGAGGAAGGTCTCAATGTGGGCTAACAGCCAAGAAAGGCTTCCTGGAGGTGGTGGACTAGGGTTGCTTTGTGTAGGGAGAGAGAAGGGTAAAGTGAGTAGAGGGAGCAGGAAAGGAGAATACAATGAGGAAACAAGTAGAATAGATATGTTATACCTTGAATGCCAGGATATGGAGCTTGGACTTTATCCTGAATTTAATAGGGGCCTACATTAATGTAATAGTTTAGGGAATTAATACTTTCATTCAGCAGGTACATTGAGTACTATGCACAAAGAATTATATCAGACTCTTGGACATCAAGATTTAATTATTCTACAAGTAAAGATAAAGGGAGATCCTAGAAGTTTTTGAAAGATTTTCCTTAGATATAGTATACTCTAAGATCTAAGACTTGTTCTTGGAAGGACAGAGAGGCTATTGACAGATAAGAATAATAATAGACAACATTTAATGAGCTTCTTATGGCCAGGCAGTTCTTAAAAAGATTACAAGCATGATTTTCTTTAATTTTTAAATGATTTTCTTTAATTTTGATAACAATATTGTGAGGTAGTTATTACTACCTCCATTTTAAAATTGAGGAAATGGAGTCTTAAAGATGTGAATTTGTCCAAGTATTCATAATTAATAGAATCAGAATTTCACCCAGTTTTGTCCAATTCTAGAGACTGAACCATTTAGCCACAATATTGTAAAGCTTCTCAACCTAGACATCAGCAAGAAAAGTTTTGTTTTTATGATATGTTCAATTTAGAGTTAGGGCCTAATTATTTCTGTTGTTCATAGGAAAGGACTAGTTCAGGATATTGCAGGGGCCCAAAGAATGGGAGTCACCAGCCTGGAAGAGTGGGAAGGGAATTCAGGAAAGGCTTAATAAAGGGCACATGCTACTTGAAAGATGAGTAGGTGATATGCTGAAAATGGCAAGGACATTCTTGGTAGGGAGCAGCTCAAAAAAGGCACAGAGGTAGAAAGCAGTGTAATATGTTAGGTAAATGAGAAAAGTAGTTTAGTATGGCTCAACTAGAGGAGGCAAAGCTGGGAACTGGAGAAGTTCGTAGGGGCCAGATTATGATGGACGTCTTTAGGACACATATCCAGTAGGACCTTTTAAATGCAGTAAAATGATTAAAATGGTTCATTATGCTAGGCAGAAGTGAACTGACCAGCTCCTAAATGAGCATATCAGCTTGCTTTTTTGTCTCACCCTTGAAGATGTGAATGCCCCTGAAATTCCAGCTGCCACCGAAGTGGCTGAAGATAAGTAGACTAGAGTTTGAGTTAGACTTAGGTTAGCTTCTGTAGGTTCCATTTGCCAAATGAGAAGTCAGACCTTCTGTTTTCCTTTCCATTAAGATAAATAATGCTTGGAACTCTGGGAGAAAAAAGTAAATTTTGTGTTTTGGTTTTTGTAGCCCTCCCAGGCCCAATACTTCAGAGCATCTTACCTCTGCTCAATATATATTACTTGGAGAGGATTGAGGAAACTGCCCTCAAGAAAGGTAAGTGTCTTTCTCACTCTTTCTCAGTCAGTGATTGTAAGCAAGGCACCATGATGTCTTCAGGTAAATATTACACCTGATACCCACATAGAACTTCAAGCTTTTCAAAAAGTACCCTCATACCTACTTTCTTACATGATTCCTCAGAGTGTCCAGTGAAACACAAAGCAAGTAATGATCCCAATTATACTAATAAAAGTGAAACCACAGGCACACCACAATTAATAGCTAACCCAGACTAAAGCCCAGATCTTCTGAATCTTCGTTTTTCTGTTTTACCATGCTGTCTTCCAAACCTCTCATTGGACAGATCTGTTAACAGCTAACATTTATCTAACTAACCCTGATGTGACAAGTGCTGTCCTGTGCACTTTACCTGGAGAAACTCATTTAATCTTTTCAACAACTCTATGAAATAGCTATTATCTACATTTTGCAGATAAGGAAACTGAGGTACAAAAAAATTAAGTAAACTTGCCCAGGGTCACAGAGCTAGAGTGTGGTTTGTTGATACTTAAACCCAGGCTGTCTTTAGAGCCAGCACTCTTAACTAGTCTGCTCTATTGCTCCTGTGAACCCAGAGAACGACAACATTAAAGGCTGATATGCTTCACTCATGGTGGCCCAAGAGCAGCCAAGTAAATGTGATATTTCTCCCCACAGGCCTCTCCACTCAGGCCATCTGGCGCCGACTATGGGATGAGCTGATGAAGACAAGGCCTTCCAGTTTGGAAGTAAGTTAAGGCACCAGGTAGAACTCTGGCCTGACTTTGCTCAGTGGAAGTAGGAATAGCTTACAAACACAGACTGGGTACTGGTAAAGTGCAGGGACAGGGATGGAGTGAATTTGGGAGGAGATGGCTTGTCACAGGGTTCTTGGCTCTGATGGCTTGTCACAAGGTCTTTCCATTTGGCATTTGTCACTGACTTGATTGCTCACCATGTTTGCAGGTAACACAAAACAGGGAAAGGTAGTGATCACAATGGATGGCAGAACCCAGATTCATAGATGTCTGGACAGGGCTGGAGCAGTGGTCAAACCTGACAAATGAAATTTAACAGAATAAACCAGTTTTTCACTTAAGTCTAAAAAATTCCAGTTGTATGACCTCAGGGTAGGAGGTGGAGGGGTCTGGCTTAGCAACAACTTGTATGAAAACGATTAAGGGGGTTTGGTCAACAATGTGCTAAAGCTACTGATATAATGACTCTACTCTGAGCTATGTGAATCAATGTAACTATAATATAAGCTGAAGGACAAGGGAGATGATAGGCCTGCGTGGCTCTGCAGTGTTCAGGCTATCCTGGAATATGGAGAAAGAAGTCAAGGCCACATCACGTGAGTCACATTTGGAAGACTGGAGATGTTGTTCCTGAAAAAGAAGAGCTGGGAACATGAACTATTGGAATATTTGAATGATTCTCACATAAAAGAGGGATTGATAGACTTGTTCTGATAGAAGCTAAAGAAGAATAAATTTCTGCTAAACTGAATGTAGAATTTATAAGCTCTGAGCTTATTGGTGATGAAACAAGCTAATGCCAGAAGTAACCTTCCCATCTCTGAGTGTTCAAATAGAGTCTAGATAACTACCTGACACAAGGGTATTGTAGAAGAAAATCAGCATTTTAAGAGAGGTTGGACAAGATGACTTTAGGATTCCTTTTAACCCTGAGATTCTGTTATTCTTTGGTTCAGATATAACTTGCTCTTATTTAAGCAGAATTTCTTCTGCTGTTCCATAACTAGGGTGCAGCTCAGATTGAGTTCAATAAACATTTACTAAACTTCCCACATACCAGGTCTTATGTTAGGTATTGGAAGCACAGACACAGTCCCAATCTCTCACATTTAGCGGGGAAGCCTGCAAACAAATACATTGTGCATGGTGGGGAAAGTGGTGTGGAAGTAGCAAGGAGGTTGAGGTAGAAGGGAGCATGACAGTCTTTCCTGGGAAGTAGTATTTGAACTGGGCTTTAAATGGTGGATGAGGCCAAATGATAAGAAGACAAGTTCTTATCAGGAGATTTAATTTCTGGGGATGCACTGGATTCAGTAAAATTCAGCTCCATATCCTTCAGCTTTCCACTTCCAGATCTGGACACAACTCCTGAAGTTCAGTAGGATAATCCTAAGGCTCAAGAAAGTCCTCAGGCACTATGTACAGGAATTAGGCCTTATGAGGAAGAAAAGTGAATGCAAGATTAGAAAACACTAACAGTTTCCTGAAACTTAAAAGTGTATGAGATTCACTTCGAATCTCAACCATCCCAAGCAGTATGGTGGACTAGCAGATGATGGAGATCGGAACATCATCTTAGAGTAAGCTTTTTTCCTCCAATATTATCTCAGGCTTTCTGGTAGTTTGTTATCTTTTCTTGTCTCAGAGCATTTCAGAATGCTTGGGAAGCCCCAGGCTTGGTAACCTAACAGTCCCCTAGACAGAGGTCATTCCAAAGGATGCCTTCTTCTTTTTTACATGACAGTAACCTTAACTTCATAATTCAGAAACACTTATTGAGTGCCTGTTCAATTCCAGGCACTGTGCTAGGTTCTAGGGATACAGTGGTGAACAAGATAGAGATAGCCCTGATTGCTTATAAAGAAATAGAATTTCAGGGACGCCTGGTGGCTCCGTTGGTTGGGCAGCTGTCTTCAGCTCGGGTCATGATCCCAGTGTCCTGGGATCAAGTCCCACATCGGGCTCCTTGCTTGGCGGGGAGCCTGCTTCTCCCTCTGCCTCTGCCTGCCACTCTGTCTGCCTGTGCTCGCTTTCACTCCTCTCTCTCTCTCTCTCTCTCTCTCTCTCTGACAAATAAATAAATAAATAAATAAAAGAAATAGAATTTCAAACAGTGTAGTACTACTGTATGTGTATTAAGAGATCTGTAGAATAAAATAGATATTCTTGAGACAAAGCAATGGGGAAATGAAGGCTTATTCAATAAAGGATTCTCTGGTTATTGGTTAACTATTTGGAAAAAAAAAAGAGCCTCATTTTACAATATACTCAAATAATTTCTATATGGATTAAAGATTAAATTGTAAAAAGTAAAAGCACAGAAAAACTAAAAAAAGAATAAAGGTGATTGTTATTTAATCTCAAGTTGGAGAGTGTTAATTATTAAATGGATAGAATCAAAAAAGCAAGCATGGACATATTTGGCCATATAAAATGCCAACACAATTTAAAAGGCACATAAACTAAGAAAGAATGTTTGCAACAATATTTGGAAAACAAGAGGATAGAGGGAATAAGAAAAACTATCCTAGTAGAATAAGATTGGGACAAGTCACAAAATATACAAAAATCTTCAATAAAATATATTCAATCTCAATAGTAAAAAAATGGGAAAGTATATAACTCTTAAATAAGTATATTATATACTTATCATATAAAAATAAGTATATATAATATAAAATAAATATATATTTATATACAATATATATTATTTGGCTAGAAATTCTATTTCCTAGAATTTATAGTATATAAAAATTGAAATACTCATGAAGATTTATTTCAGGATGTTCATTACAGCAACTTAATATCAAAAAGCTAGCAACAGTTTATTCAATATGCAGGAATTATTGATTATAGTACATTCCTATTTTTAATAATAAAGTCATATTCTGCAAACATCTAAATACATGGTGGTAAAAATGTGATGACATGGTGGCATGATGTTTTAAAAGCCCAGCATTTGAAACTATTCAGAATTGTCTCACTGTTATAGAAACAATTATCTGTAGCTATTCACATTTACAAAATAACTGGAAAGAATGGGTTTACAGATTTTGTTTATCTTTCCACAAACAATGTTTCTGTTATCAGAAAAATAGTGGACAATAGTTTATGAACATTTGCTGCTCTGTTTAGTACAAGAAAATGTTTAGCCTTCCCTAGTTTGTACACCTACTTCCTCCCCAACTAGTCCCTGAGCCACCAGGCTATGGATGGGCCAAGAACTGTGTTGGTAGGCAAGTGTCATTTCACCTCTTTGGTGGTGCCTCATTTCCCCTACTCTCGCCCAAAAGAATATGTTGAAATCATTGCATTCCCTGAGCAATAGTGTACAAGTCCACAAAATAAGTGCCTTGAACTATTAGGTATTTTTCAGCTTTGAAGTTTAGCAGAGATTCTTCTAAGGGGTGGTGATGGAATAAAATGCAGTGAACTACTAGCAGCTCATAATTGAGATAGTTGTAACTAACTTTACTCATTTAATCCTTACAACTCTGATGTAGATCGGTTACTTTCTGACTTTACAGATGAGAAACTGAGGCAGAAAGAGGTAAAGTGGCTTGTCTGAGGTTATAGTTAGTGAATAGCAGACCCAGGATTCAAGTTGAGGCTTGAACTTAAGGGCTGTGGAGCTTATGCTCCTAATCACTATGTCATGCTGTTCTCCCTACAATTGTCACCTGTCTGGGGTGTTCCAGTTTCAAATATTCTCTTCCACTGTCTTCATCAACCAATAAGATGTATGGAAAAAAAAAAAAAAAAACACTAAGTTACCTAAACTACATATTCCATACGCCATATGGTCAGAAATAGCCACAGTGTCCTGGTTCATATCTTTGTCCATATTTTAGGCCTAGAATGTCTCACTTGTGAAGTTAAAGCTTTGCTAGATTACCTGCAGGTGTTTTCCAAGGCTGTGAGCGTGGGCCAGCGAATGTGTAGGAAAGTGTTAAGAGGTAGGATTCGGGAATACCCTCTCTGCTTCCACTCGAGGCTGAATGGAGATTTTGTTGCCAGGTATTTTTTCCTGGTCCCCCAGCGCCCCCAAACTGTTGCTGGTGAGAGACGTCCTTCCCTCTTTTTGCTACCATGCAGTTAGTTCAAACATGAAGTCATTCCTAATTATTACCACAGCAGGCAGTGTTATGGGGAATAGCCAGGGCAAAGGGAATGCCACTTTTGCTGAGAACTACAGGGGTCCAACTCCTACCAAGAACCTCTGATATAAATTAAGGGTCCCTCTGGTATGAGGGAATGCATAGAGGTAGGGTAAGTACCAAAGAGAAGCATCCCTTAGTTTTGGGGAACCTCAGGCCCCCACTATCTTTTGCTTCCAGCTGAAAAAGCACCCTGCTTACCAGGCTCTGCCTCCATCAAGTCCATTTCACATTGCCCATCTGGACTAATTATCACCATTAGCAGTAACAGAAATAACATTTTGTATTTTACAGTTTATGAAGTGCCTTCACTTGCACTGTCTCATTTGATCTTCACAACAAACCTGTGAAGCAATTGATATTATCCATGTTTTACAGATGAAGAGGTTCAAGAGGCCTGAGTATAGTGGCAGAGATGACACCTGTGTCAGTCAGCATGTTGTGCCTGAGAGAATGGGGACTTAAAAGTCTGTGTGTCCTCTGGTGGTTGGGGGCGGGGTAAGCAGTAATTGCAAACCTCCTACATACATCAGAATCATCTGAGGGAGGTTTAAAAACACAGACGCATGGGCCTTACTGCAGATGCAACATAAGAGAATTCCCAGATACCTGGCATATGAATTTTCAAAAAAGAAAAGCTCCACAGTCAATTCTGATGTGCGCCAAAGGTTGAGAAATACTTGGATTCAGAGTTTTTCTTAAGTGTTCTGGAATACTGTGATAAAGTCTCATATGCATCAAAGCCAATAACTACTGCCTTGGAGAAAACTAACCTAAGATTTGGACCCTGATCTCCAGGAATTTCTAATCTGGTTGGGATAAAACATGTACACCATGAGACAGGCCTACCAACAATTAAGACCTGAATAATTGGAGTAGCAGAGGAGTCCCACAGGAGACAGGGAGCAGAGTAGAAGGGGGCATACAAAGAGACACTGAGATGAACAGCCTCAACAAGAGTAATATGTTAGGGGGCGCCTGGGTGGCTCAGTGGGTTAAGGCCTCTGCCTTCGGCTCAGGTCATGATCCTGGGGTCGAGCCCCACATCGGGCTCTCTGCTCAGTGGGGAGCCTGCTTCCTCCTCTCTCTCTCTCTCTCTCTGCCTGCCTCTCTGCCTACTTGTGATTTCTGTCAAGTAAATGAATAAAATCTTTAAAAAAAAAAAAAAAGGAGTAAAAATGTTAGTAGGTCCTCTCAAGAAGCCAGCAATGAAGAGCATTTCTGGCAGATATAGGAAACGGCATAGAAGGCAGGTTTGGGTCAGTAAGGTGATCATTTTGACCAGAGCAAAGCGTTCATGTGAGCAAGATGTGGGAGATAAAGCTTCTCAGAGGCCATATTGTGCCAGGCCAAGGAACTTCAGATTAGCCCTCAGCTGTGGAAAGATTTGGGAGGGGGATGTGGTTAAAGCAGAAGGTAATCAGATATGTTTTGCAAAGATGAATCCAGTGGATTTGCACGAAGTTTGGGAAGGGGAAAAGGAGATGGCGGGAACAATCAGGAAGCTAATGAAGTGGTCAGGTGTGAGGTGGTAAGGGTCTGAACAAAGGTGGTAATGGTAAGAATGGAAAGTTGGGATCAGGTTCTAGAAACAGACATGGAAGAAGTTACAGGATTGTTTCACTTGAATGGCAGGCACTATAGCAAATCTCTGGAACCAAATTTCCTGGGTTCCGTCTCAATTCTACCACTTACCGGTATAACCACAGGCAGTAACCAACCTTTGTGCCTTGTTTTCCCTACCTGTAAAATGGGGCTAATGGTAATACCTCAAAGATGTGAACATTAAATGAATTAGTGCAAATTATTTAGAATGTTGCCTGGCTCAGCAAATAGCCATTCGAAGGGAGGAACCAGGATGAGGATGGTTCAGTGGGTATCCTCTTAGTATCACAACTGTCTGGCATGTTCTCTGCTTTCAGAGTGTGACCTGTTGGCGAGCCAAGTTTATGGAAGCCTTTTTTTCCCATGTTCTACGTGGGACCATTGATGTATCTTCTGACAGGCGTCTCTGCGACCAGCGCTTCTCACCTCTTCTGCACAGCTCCCGCCATGTCCGCCAGCTCACCATCTGCAATATGCTGCAGGGTGCGACGGAGCTGGTGGCCGAGCCCAACCGCAGGGTTCTGGAGACCCTGGCCAGTTCCCTGCACACCCTCAAGTTCCGCCACCTGCTGTTCTCTGATGTGGCTGCTCAGCAGTCACTCCGGCAGCTTCTGCATCAGCTTATTCACCATGGGGCTGTCAGCCAAGTGTCGCTCTACTCCTGGCCTGTGCCCGAGTCAGCCCTTTTCATCCTTATCCTCACCATGAGTGCTGGCTTCTGGCAGCCAGGCCCTGGCGGCCCACCTTGCCGCCTCTGTGGAGAGGCCTCCCGAGGCCGGGCCCCATCCCGAGATGAAGGGTCCCTCTTGCTGGGCTCACGCAGGCCTCGCAGGGATGCTGCTGAGCGATGTGCTGCAGCCCTGATGGCCTCTCGGCGGAAGAGCGAAGCCAAGCAGATAGCCAGAGCTGCACCTGCCACCCGGGTAACACGCCGGAGCACACAGGAGAGCCTGACAGCAGGTGGGACAGACCCCAAGAGGGATCTGCACCCTCCGGCAACTTCCCATGAGGCGCCTGGCACCAAGCGGCCATCCTCTGCTCCAGCCACCAGCTCCTCTGCCTCTGCCTCCTCTTCCACATCCTCATCCAAACGGGCTCCAGCTAGCTCAGCCCCACAGCCTAAGCCCCTAAAGCGTTTTAAGCGAGCTACAGGGAAGAAGGGTCCTCGCACCCGTCAGGGGTCTGGTGCAGAGTCTGAAGACCTGTATGACTTTGTTTTCATTGTGGCTGGTGAGAAGGAGGATGGGGAAGAGATGGAGATCGGGGAAGTGGCTTGTGGAGCTCTGGATGGATCAGATCCCAGCTGCCTGGGGCTTCCAGCACTGGAGGCCTCCCAGCGATTCCGCAGCATCTCCACCTTGGAGCTGTTCACAGTTCCGCTGTCCACAGAGGCAGCTCTGACACTGTGCCACCTGCTGAGCTCCTGGGTATCTCTGGAGAGCCTCACACTCTCCTATAATGGTGAGTGTCCTGCAGGGGCAGGGATGGGTCTCACAGCAGCACCAGCCGTGTGCCCAGCCCTGTGGAGGGGAATAGGGAGTGTGATCAAGCAGCTGCACATGAGGCCCTGCCTGCTTCACAGTGGGACAGAAAGCACACACCTGAAATAGGGGCAGACTTCCATTGCTGGGGGCAAACATGAGGTCTGTAGGCTTGATTTAGAGTTGTAAGCAGAGGTTCCTGAGAGGCAGTGAGGGCCCAAAGAAGGGGTACATTTTAGCCATGGTAGGCAATCCACAGGCAGGTGGGAGCAGTGGAGTGTATTCAGGGCCCAGCCAGGGCTAAGGTTGGGTCCCCCCAGTCCTGTCAAAGCAGCTGTACAGACAAGAAGGTATAGAACACATTTTTATCAGACCAGCAATCTATGAAGCAGTCCTCAGTTCTTACCCATGCCTGGCTGTGCCCAGGTAGCCGAACTTCAACTCTGGGCAAATCCACCAATCTCCGTCACTTGCTGAGCACAGATGGAGAAAATCACACAACTGTGCAGACTGGTGCTACCATACATTCAGTCTTCAATCTTGTATGGATCCTATGTTTGCAACATTAGCTCCGATTCCTCTCCACTACTTCTACATGTTTTCCCCTTTCCTTTCTCAGCAGAGGACTTCACTTCCTACTTCAGAGAACATAGAAGCCATCACACATGAACTTCAGCTTGTTAACCAACCCAGAATTCTACATCTACACTCATCCTTTTCTCTTTCACAATGGGAGATGGCCATTCTAACTAGGGCTAACTCTATTACCTGTGCTCTGGACCCATATCCTCTTGCCTTCTTAGGAAAGCTTGTTTCTCAAATGCCTTAGTAATAACTAACTTTTATATACTGCTTAATATGTGTCTGGCATAATTTAAGTATTCTGTTAATTGGATCCTTACAACAACCCTATTGAGGTCAACTGGCTTACCCAGGGTAACCTCACTAGTAAACTGTAGAGCCAGGATTCAAACCCAGGCAACCTGATTCCAGAATCCCAAGATTTTAAACTCAATGTTGCCTACCTTCTCCAAGGTCTTCCTTGTCACTAAGTCCAATACATACTTTTCAGTCCTCCTCTTCTATTAATTCTTGGCCGCATTTGCTGCTATGAGACAGCCTTCATGAAATACTCATTTTCACTACCTCAAAAATTTTTTTTCTCCCTTTCTGGACATTGTTATCAATGTTCAGAGTTCCTCAGAGCTCTGCCATTTTACACATACGTCCTGGATGGTCTTGTCCATTCTTTTGGTTTCAAAAGCCAACTATGCTGAAGAATCCTCAATCTATGATAAGGGTCCACTCCAGATCTTTTTCCTAAACTCTAGAACCATTTCAGCCAGGTGACTACTAGATATTTCATAAACCAACCTGAATGCATCTTCTCCCCTCATGCTTGATCCTCCTATTCTGTCAGTGACCTTACAGCTCTCAGCTGCCCAGAAGACTGCTGGGCTCTTTCTTTTGCACCACATCTGTTTTTAAGATCTCTCAAATCCACTTATTTATCTCCACATCTTAATTCAAACTACTGTTCTCACTTGCATTCATCAACAGTTCCTCCCATCTACACCGTAGCCCCAGCATTTTTTTTAAATGCAAAGGCCATTCACTCACTTAAAAACCCTTCAGCAGTTTCCTGTCACATTCTTAGTTTACTTACAGGTCATTCGTGTTCTCACCCCTGCTTACCTTCGTAGTGTCATCTTGAACACCCTCTCCCCTCATACTTTACACACCAGTCCCACTGAGTGTTTTTCAGTTCTTGGAACCTGCCACTCTTCTTCCTTCGGGCCTTTATATATATTGAGCTCTCCCTGCCAGTCACTCCTCTCCCTCTGTTTAGCCTATCTCGTGTTCTTCAGGACTCAACTGGAAAGTCTTTACTGTTAGAAGCTGGACTGGGTACCAAGTACTCATCCTTTGTGTTTCCATAATACCCTACTTCCCCAGCTCCCCTCACATTTTTGTTGTCCATCAGGCTACATAGCCAGGAATGAGATCTGTTGCTCATCACTGTCTAGCAAAAACTATATTTACTAGGTACTGGTTAAGGTATAGTGGGAGGAATGAGTCCACAGGAAACCTGCTCAGTCCAAGGGGAGATAGTATTTGCTTTGTGGCATTAAGCCTTTGCTCTAACCCTTCTGGATTCTGTTCACTTTTGTAGGGTGTGGTTACCCTTTTTTTGCTCTATTCCCACCCAGTTAATCCTTTAAAGTATTCCCTACTGGGTCATTGTCACTCCACTGCTTAGATGTTCCATGTGACCTATAAGAAAAGTCCAGAGACTGCTGCTGCCCTCTGGGCCTGTCATTCAGCCTGCAGCACAAAATGCCCCCCCCCTTCCTGTTACTATCTTCTGTTTGTGACTGCCCTCACTGATGCAGTCACAGTAGGGCCATGGCCCAGTACAGTAGACATCAGTTTGCTGGTTACCTGAGGAGAAAACAAGACAATGAATGGTTGAGACAAAGGATTTTAACTAACCTGATCCAAAGCTCAAGAAATTTAGCAGTTATCAACAGAAATATCTGGAGTTGTCTCTGAATGTCACTTCTACTGACACTCCCACATGACTGACCTAACTTCTTTCCTGCCATAGGCCTGGGCTCTAACATCTTCCGCCTGCTGGACAGTCTGCGGGCCCTGTCAGGCCAGGCTGGATGCCGCCTCCGAGCCCTGCATCTCAGTGATCTGTTCTCACCACTGCCCATCCTGGAGCTGACACGTGCCATTGTGCGAGCCCTGCCCCTACTGCGGGTCCTCTCTATCCGTGTGGATCACCCCAGCCAGAGGGACAACCCTGCTGTGCCAGGGAATGCAGGGCCCCCTAACCACATAATTGGAGATGAAGAGATACCAGGTGAAGCAGTGTGTGTGTGTGTGTGTGTGTGTGTGTGTGTGTGTGTCCCAACACAAATGTGAAGGTGCATTTGTGTCCATGCAAATGTGAAGTTGAGGAAGGTGGGACAACCTCTGATTCAGGCCTGGTAAACTCATTCCTCAAAAAGGGAATGAAATCCATTCCCTCTTTAGAGCCTGCAGTTCAAAGATAACCATGGCCTGAAGAGGGCCCAGACCACTTATAAACCCAGTAGGAAGTGACCGTGGCAGATTAGTCTCTAGAAAGACAGTCTAGGTCATTCTTCTTTATATTCCTTTAGGTCCTGTTTCCTATGTCACCACTCTGCACACACTTACTTGCTTGAGTAGTCTAGTCTTCCTGGACTAAAAGTTCCAGAAGGGCAAGGACCAAATCTCATTTAGTGCTGTTCCCAGAACCTAGCACAGTACCTAATGTGAAGTGTATACTCAATGACAAGTAAATGAATCGAACTTTTTAGTGAATCTCTAAAGAACAGGATGGGACCTGCTCGGGGATAAGAAGGGAGATGGCCAGCGATAACCTTTTCTTCCTACCATATCCAGAAAACTGCCTGGAACAGCTGGAGATGGGATTTCCACGGGGAGCCCAACCAGCCCCACTGCTCTGCTCTGTACTGAAGGCCTCAGGTTCTCTGCAGCAGCTGTCTCTGGATAGTGCCACCTTTGCCTCTCCCCAAGATTTTGGGCTTGTGTTACAGACACTCAAAGGTAGGACCCAGCTAGAATGGTAAAGGGAGGGCAGGAGACCTTGCATCATTCTTTGGCAAAGTTAAGGTCTATGGCCTCTGCCCCCACACAGAGTACAACCTGGCCCTGAAGAGGCTGAGCTTCCATGACATGAACCTGGCTGACTGTCAGAGCGAGGTGCTCTTTTTGCTACAGAATCTGACTCTTCAAGGTAAGTTCTTCATCCAGAACCTGGGGCATTCCTGGATCTTCACTGTGGCTCTGCCACTGTTTCACTGAATGAGCAAGCCACTGTTCTGTTCTCGGCCTTACATCTTCAACTATAAAATTGCTATAGAACCTGCATGATCTTCCTTCTAAAAGGTCCCAAACTCAATTCCTCCTATACTAAACATGGGAAAATTATTAACTTTTAGAGTGCCTCACTTAAATTTTTACCTTTCAGTGGCTGGCAGAAATGGCGGTGGTTAAGGATAAATATGCTGTCAGCCTCCCCTTATCGACTTGCCCCTAATGCCCACTCCTGCAGAGGGCAATTAGTGGATGGGGGGGGATTAAATGGAGAACCATTCATGTAGAGAACCTCCCAACTGAATATCTGGGCTCAGTCTCTTGTCTGAATCTGATTTAGTTCCAGTCTTGCTTGGGGTCTTGGAAAATTCCCTTCTTTCTGGGCTTCTATAAAAACGTTCACACCTCTTGCTAGGGCCAATTGGGACGGGAGGGGGAGCACCAAGTCCTAATGATAGCCATCAGAATTTATTCTAATTTCTCTTGACAGAGATTACCTTCTCCTTCTGCCGTCTGTTTGAGAAGCGCCCGGCCCAATTTCTGCCTGAGATGGTTGCTGCTATGAAGGGCAACTCCACACTGAAGGGCCTCCGGCTGCCAGGGAACCGCCTGGGTGGGGGCAGGGCCCTGGGAAGGGACAGGGGGAAGGAGCCAGTCCTTGGACTTAGAAACTCAGTGGATGAAGGCATAGGCCTCTCCACTGGGAACATGGGGGTTGGAATATAGTTGTGTGCCGGAGCTTCAGGAGGCTGGGCTTCTCTCTACCAGAACTGGATTGGAATACGCTTGTTCCCTGTTGGGTGGTTACAGACATTCTCCCCTTCTCCCCAGGGAACGCTGGCTTGCTGGCCCTGGCAGATGTTTTCTCAGAGGACTCCTCCTCCTCTCTGTGTCAGCTGGACATCAGGTACACGGGAAGGGGGAAGGGACAAGGGATGGAGCTTCAGGGATATAGGGATTAGTTAGTTGTTTCCTGGGTGTCTAATCTGTCTCACCCCTACCAGTTCCAACTGCATCAAGCCAGATGGCCTTCTGGAGTTCGCCAAGCGGCTGGAGCGCTGGGGCCGTGGAGCCTTTGGTCACCTGCGCCTCTTCCAGAACTGGCTGGACCAGGATGCAGTCACAGCCAGGGAAGCCATTCGGCGGCTCCGGGCCACTTGCCACGTGGTTAGCGACTCGTGGGACTCATCCCAGGCCTTTGCAGATTATGTCAGCACCATGTGATGGGGCCCATGCTTCACAGACCCATGCTCAGTACCATCAGCTTGCAGGGGCTGAGACATGGGCTGTGACATGGGCTGCCCAGAACTTCCAAACACCAACTCTGTCTTTCTCTTTCTGCCACCTTTTTTTCTCTTTTTTCCTTCTTCCCTTGCACTGAGGTCCTGGTGGCCTTGATGGGGCTCAGCAAAGGTATTCCCAAAACTGGATGTAGAGCCTCTGGGCCCCTTACCCAGTACTCTGGGAACCCTGGGCCAGGTTATAGTGCTCCTCAGTCACTGAGGACAGCTCCCCGCCCCCTGCCCAAGGTTCCTGCTTTCCTTCCCGAAGCAGGCACCCAGGCTTTAGAGAAGTTTAGGAGTGTCCACTACCAGGCCTCTTCTCCGCTGGGCTTACCATGCTGCTCCCAGGCCTCAGTCCCTTTCATACCTTTATTCCTTTCTTTTTTTTTAACCAAAAAAGTTTTTCTTATAAAATAAACTTTGGGCAAACATCATGTGGCCCTCCTTGATGATTTTTGTCCCAGAGAACAAAATTCAGTAGGGTCCTATGGGGCAAGGAGCCCCTTTTCCCTGTCTCCTTCCTCTAACAGCTACACCCAGACCAACTGGTTTATCAGCGGAGGCCCCGCTGCTCTTCATGAGAACGCTGGTGGAAGACGAATGTGATGGAAGTGGAGGCAGCATCCCAGGCAGCCTGGAGTACCTCATCCTTGAGCCCCCGTTTATCAGTGTTATGGTTCCACTGAGCCAGGTCTGAAGTACAGTCAGAACCATCAGGGGGTGGCCGGACCTGGTGGTTGTTGACACAGCGGCGGCAGCGCAGCCTGGGGGCAGAGGACAGAGCTGTGATGACTATAGAGCCCATCTCCATGCTGTGCAGGGAGTTCAGAGGTAATGCCAGTAAGGGCACTCCACGCACCTGTCATGAGTGTCGCTAAGGCTAGCCTCATCGAGAGTAAACAGCTCCTTCAACTCCCCCAGAGAGAAGTGCCGCTCCACGTCCTGCTCCTCATCCACCACACAGCTGCTCAGTGCCTTCTTGTGGCTCTGGCGCTGAAAGATCTTCTCCTCAATGGTTCCGGCCTGGGGTGCAGAGACCCGGGGTACATGGCTAAGTCATCCCCAAACACGGGGCATGAAAACCCAGGAGTTGAAATTATAGCCACCCAAGAGAAAGAGAAATAAAAGAAAACCCAAAATCCTACAGCCACACATCTGCTTAGCTGAGCCCATTTTCCCAGTCTATTTCTTGAGAACATGACTCGTACATGTCTGCTCACCCAGGATATTTTCTGTACAAATGGAGGGTTTCATGGCCTGGCTAAATTCCTTCAGAGTGAGCTGAGGTTTGCAGCAGCTTCACCAGAGCTCCACACCAAGCCCAGGTCTCTCTCACTCAATAAATATCATTAAGGTATCCTAGGCCAGGCCCTGTGCATGAGGATACAAAGAAGAATCAAATATAATCCCTATTCTTGAGCTCACAGGCTAGTGGGAGAGACAAAAACTAATTGGTACAATAATAAAAACCTGTATAGGATACCCAAGGGCCCAAAAGAGGGATGGTAGTAGAGAGGAATGTTGGGAAGCTTGAAAGATTATCCTCAAGTTGAATTTTAAAACATGAATAGATGGCCTACAAGGAAAGAGAGAAGGGAAAGCTCCTAGATCCCACGTAGGAACAAAGGAATAAGCCTGGCCTATTAGAAGAGTGAGAACTTGAGCCTGTCTGAGGGACAGTGGGAATGTAGAGTGGGAATCTCAGCTGGGATTGAGAGTCAGCAGAGGTCATACTGGAGAAATAATGGATGCCAGGCTGAAAGAGCTTGGCACTGTCCTGCAAGTGATGAAAAGCAAAATCAGAATTTTCGCCAAGTTTATTCTGGAAGCAGTATATGAAGAACAGATTAAGACCAAAGGTAAAGAATTAGGAAGCTGCTGCAATATCCAAGTGAGAAAGGACTGTGACCTTAGCATGGGACAGAGAGAAGTTAAAGAAATTTCCAGAAAGTAAAAATAACAATTTGTTTTTAGGAAACAGAATGGTCCAGTAGGATGATACCCAGGTTTGGGATGGTTGGATAATGGAGCCATTAAATGACAGAATTCAGAAAGAAAATGAATTTAGTCCACCATATATCCAAAGTGTTCATAAAACAGGCAAGTGGAATTGTACAACAGGTAATGGCAAAACAGGTCTAGAACTCAGGTAAGAGATCCAGGCTAAAAATTTAGAGATTTGCCAATATAATGAGTGTATGTAATCACAAGAGGTGGGAAAACCAGAGTGGAATTTCTCGAGAGAATAGAATTTTAAGGATTAGTGGTAAACAGTGTCAGATTCACAGGAAAAAAAAACCAAGAGTTTCTTGTTTTGTCAATTAGGAAGCCAGTAGTACATTCAAAAACAGGTTCGGTGGCATAAATGGTCTGATGAGTGAGTAGAAGATGAGGAAGTGAAGTTAGTTTGTAGTTTGTATGTTAGCTTTGGAAAAATGTGACTATGAATGAATGGAAAGTAACCCAAAGTAGTAGCTACAATTGGATGGAGGCTTAAGAAACTGTTTTCAGATGAGAGCTACTTGAGCATGTTTGTAGACCCAGGGAAATAAAGGAGAAATTAATCAACTAAGGAAAGGAAAGAGTCTAGGGCAAAGCTAGAATGATGAGCCCCCAAAAAGAAGGAAATGATCTTCCTCTGAGATGGGAAGAGAAGAGCCAGGTATAGAGATTTACAAAAGAGAGGCTAAAAAAGTCAAGCCCGGTAGCCTACGTTTTCTCTTTGAAGTAGAAGATAAGGTCTCTGCAAAAAGAATGATAGACAGGGTTAGGCAAGAAACTTGAGGGAAGTGGTGAAGGCTAGCAGTGATATGGTCCAGTCCAAAATGGAATATGTATTGGTGCATGGGTGGTTCAGTGGTAGAATTCTCGCCTGCCAAAATGGAATATGTGAATTTGTGCTAGTTTTGATCTATACCTGCAAATTGTACATGGTGCAGAACCTGAAAATAGTTGTAATGATCCAAGTGGAGAAGATTTTATGGAAAGAGTGGCTGAAAGAATACACAGTAAGAATCAGACCAAACAGAAAGAGAAGTCGAGCCAGACTGGGGGGAGGTGGGGTACTAGGGACATTAGTTTGAAGCAGATGTAGGAGGTATGAGAAAGCTGGAAGGACAAGAAGTGAGACTAGAAAGATAGCTATTAATGTTTGGAACTATGTATAGTTTTGGCACTATTAAAGTTCTGGAGTGTGGCCCTGGGAGTAATTAAATGAGGGGGAGTTAAAGAGCTCATTAGGAGGTCAAGGAAACATGAAGGCCAGAGTGCTAGAGAACTGCATGGTCCCTGAAGTCAAGATGATCTAGGGGAAAAATGAAGACTGCACTGGTATCCAAAGTCATCAATGAATTAGGAAAATGGCATAGAATAGAGGAGTGTAACAAGGAAAAAAAGTAGTCAAGTGAGATAACATGAGCTTTAAAAGAGAACTATAGTGTGGATGGTCTGAATGATAACTGAGAACTTGGAGAATGCCAATACCTCTTCGCCCCATGGGACACATGGAATGTGAGAAGATTACAAGGCAAGTGGCATGGCAGAAATCAGGCATGAGGCAAAGCAGGTGTCCTGGGAAAGGAAGGTGATCACAGGAGAGTTTGTTAACCATTGAACAGGTATCCAGATGGCATAGTAAAGGTTTTGAAGGAATGGGGTGGAGAGAGGAAGAAAAAACAGAAGAATAAAGGGCTCTGGCTAAGCTGCGTAGCCTGGCCACTGCGAGAGGCAGAGGGGCCAACGGGAGGTACTGACAACCCAAGATGGTCCTGAAGGTCTTCTTCTATGACCCACCCCTACTATGACCACTGTCACCATCCTTACAGACAGCAGGCGATAGATATAGCATGTCTTCTTTTGACCGTCACGCCAGACCCGGGCCATGGCTTGTTCATCATTGGCCGGGTTCCAGTCAGGGTCAAACATGACCAGTCGGTTAGCCCCGATGAGATTGAGGCCACAGCCACCAGCTTTGCTGCTTAGCATGAAGACAAAGTCAGGGCTCTGGAAAGAGAGGAAGCAGGAGAAAAAGAACCTCTTACAGCCTGAACTGGAATCCTATTCAGTCCAGCAGACTGTTCTCTCTCACACATCTGTACTCTCATGCTGTAAGGACAACCAATTTGTCTCCTTGCCAATTTCCCAGCCCAGCCATCACTAACTTGCCGAACCCCACCACACTCACCCGAAAAGGGGGAGAAAAAAAAGAGACCCTAAAAAAGAGCACCCTTATAGTTTCTCTACCACCCCTTGATTCTGGTGTTACTGCATTGGTAGTGTAGGAACAGGGGCTGTGTATTTACCGACGGATTGTTAAAGCGCTCCACGACCTTGGCTCGCTTCTTAATGGACATTGTGCCATCCAAGCGGACATATAAGTACCTGAAGGGGAATCCAAAGATCAAAACCCAAAAAGGAAGCAGAGCCCTGCTACCAAAGGAACTGAACCATGCTTGAGGCTACTCATCTACAGCCTGAGGCCCTAAATTCACAAAGGGATGAGCAGGGAGCTAGAGGCCAGAACTCTGTCCTCTGGAAGTACCTGGGGCAGGACCAGGGGCTATTGTGCTTAGAGATGGAGCTGGGACCATCACAACAATAAGAGAACAGATATTTTCTGGGAAGCCCCTACCATACCCGCGTCTTGGCCCATATGCACCAGTCAGAACACCTACTCTGCGTAGCAGGACGGTCGGGGAGACACTGCTTTGGCAAACTGATGAGGCCCTTCCCTACCTTCGGGCCCGGCAGAGCTTCTCGAAGAGATCCAGTGTCTGAGTGTAATTGGACACCAACACTACTTTGTCACTGCTGCGGCTTCGGGTCACTGCCAGAATGTAATCAAGGACCAGCATCTTACCTGGAGAAATCAGCAACTATTAGCCCCCAGCAGGCCATCCCTATGCCCCAGGAGTCTTACTCCTGATACCATACCTTGAGACAAGGATACATATAGCACAGAGACAATCTCCCACTCCTCCTCTCAGAGGAACGCAAAGACTAGCTTACCTGACAGCTGGGGCTCTAGAGCCTTGGAGCTATAACCAGGGGGAAATATTTCCAAAGCACCTTCAAAGCCATCCTCCTCTTCCACACACTTGTCATAGATTAGAGCTGGATCTGGGGGCGGGGGGACAACCCACAAGCAAAATGCAAAATGCCAGCTATAGTGCTTTCGGAAGTTTCCACTTCAGTGCTCATTGGAACCCCCTCTGGAAGCCTATCCATCAAGACCTTCCTCAGCACCAGACTTGCTTGGCCCCAAATCCCACTATCTTAGTCAGTTCCATCTGGGACCATATTGCTCACTAGTGTGCTCTCCCAACAAAAAGGGAACTATACCAGAGAGGGCAAGGTTTGTTATTTTTCCTCCTGTCCAACATTTTATTTGCACATATGTGTGTGCACATACTCACACAGAGTCCCATATACCCCAAGCATTGAGTA